GAGGGATGGAGACCCCTGGAGCATCCCTGTGGCCATGGCCCACATAAAACTGGCACCAGTCAAACTGGAAGCTGGAATTATGATCCCAAGGCCTGAGTTCTGACCATTGAGCTGAAATTGTGACCCCAAATGGGAGCTGTAACCCCGAACTGCAGCTCTGACCCAGAAACTTAAATTGGAATTTTGTCCCTGAGCCCTGAGTTGTGACCCTGAGTCCAGAGATGAAAATCTGACCCCAAATTGGAATTGCGATTCCAAACTGGAATTGTGACCCCTGACTGGAATTGTGACCTCAGACAGGGATTGTGAACTCATGCCCTGAATTGCAATTGTGATTCCTAACTACAATTGTGATTGCAAATTGGAATTGTGACCTCAGACTACAATTAAGACCTCACACCTTTAACGACAGTTTAATTTCAACCTGGAATTGTGTCCTCAGACTGGAATTGTGACCTCAAAACTGGGAATGCAGTTGTGATTCAAAACTGGAATTGTGAACTCAGACTGGAATTATGATGCCAAGCCTTGAACGGGATTTGTGATTCCCAAGTGGAATTGTGACCTCGGACTGGAATTGTGACCTCAAATCTTGAACTGCAATTTTGATTCCGATCAGCCTTTGTGATTCCAAACTGGAATCTGACCTCAGACTTGAATTGTGTCCTCACGCCTTGAACGGCATTTGTGATTTGAAACTGGAATTGTGACCTCAAGCCTTTAATGACAGTTTAGATTCCAAACTGGAATTGTGAATTTGGACTGGAATTGTGATATCTGTCCTTGAATGGCACTTATAACTCCAAACAGAATTTGTGATCTCGGACTGGAATTGTGTCTTCGCCTTTAACGGCAGTTATTATTCCAAACTGGAATTGTGACCACAGAGTGGAATTCTGAGCTCAAGCCTTGAGCTAAAATTGTGATTCTGAACTACAATTTGAATAGAAAGTGGAATTATGACCTCCTATTGGAATTGTGACCTCAGATTGCAATTGTGACCTCAAGCCTTGAACGGGAGTTGTGATTCCAAACTGGAATTGTGACCTCGGACTGGAATTGTGTCCTCAATCATTGTACGGCAGTTATGATTCCAAACTGGAACTGTGACCTCGAACTGGAATTGTGACCTAAAGCCTAGAACGGCAGATAATATTCCAAACTGGAATTGTGACCTCAGAGTAGAATTCTGAGCTCAAGCCTTAAACTGTAGTTGTGATTCCAAACTGGAATTGAGACCTTGGACTGGAATTGTGGCCTCAGGCCTTGAATTGTGGATTTGATTCCAATAAGGAACTGTGACCTCAG